GTTTTTGCTCTGGAAGCCCAAATGCTGCACAATCCTGAAGGGAAGGGCTAGGAAGACTCCAGTTGTGCAAAGAGCTGTTGGGAGCCAAAACCCTGGAGCCGCATGGTCTATCAGCCACAGCTGGCGGAGTACGAACCCTTCAAGTTTAAGGATGAAGAGTCTGATTTGCTTACATCAGCAGAAATGAATTTATGGGCCTTTCCTACAAACATTCGACAGCCTAATTTAGAAAGGAAAGCAAACAGAAAATACTTGATTCTGGTTGCTATGGTTCAGCAACTGGAGGGCAAGAAACACTTGCCGGCTTATAGAAATCCATCAAGTGATCCCAGTCTACTTATTGTCTATGTGTGTCTATGTTGTATGTTTTGAGTTGTGAATCTGTGTATGATGTAGATAGATAGATNCCCTGAGTCCTCCTGGAGAAGGGCGGCATACAAATAATAAAATACAATACAATACAATAAAAAATCTATGTACTAAAGTTATCACATGGTACTCTGCTATGCAAGTCAAAGGGAGTGCAATAATGCCCTGATATCTCTGCATTGTCACACTTCCTGGGCATTGTACGGGGGTGTGTGGAGAGCAACACAGGAAGGTAGAAACACTGGTGTGTAATTGTCCCATGAGAAAGTCTTACAATAGTTTTGCAAGGCTAAGTTGCAAAGACTTAATTTGAAAGTCATGAGCATGCCAAACCCATCATTCTCACATGGTAGTGACTAGCTAACCCTAGTGCAAGTAGCAGTGTTACAATAATAAAAAAGCAAGAGTGTCACTTACTTCCATTGCCTTTTAATCTTCAGGGTTAAATTTTCAAAATAAGCCTCTGCGTGTCTCATTTCCTCAAACCAGCAGCCTTCAGACTTATTGGGATTAACAAACTGGTTCGGAGATGGGTTGCTAATTTTTTTACTACTGGTTCGGGCGTGCTCCCACGTCCGTGCGTGCATGCAACACTTCTGTGGGTGGAGCCTCCTGTAGTCGCTACTACCAGTTCGCCCAATCTGGGCCGAACCGGCAGCAACCCACCTCTTGAACTGGTTGGGAGTTTTGAAAGCTCCAAAATGCTTCTGGAGGGCACCAGTTTGAGGAAAGCTGAGCTATATTCAGCGAAACCTCATTTCGGGGTTTGGAAAGTATAATATATGGGTGGTGGTGAAAGCCAGAAAGGGAAAAACACAGAGAGACTTTGGGGGATGCACTTTATATACCCATTTGGGGCTCACACTTACTGTATACCCATCTTTGCAAAAAAAAAAAAAATTCAAATCAGGCGTTGGCAACTTGAAGATGTACGGACTTCAATTCCCAGAATTCCCCAGCCAGCCACGTATAACACATATCCGAATGGAGCCAGACCATTTATCATGCGATTTTTCCCCACTATCCTTTTTATCTAGAGTGCAGAATTGGTAATAACCTATTGAACCCACAGAAGCTGCTGGGGGTTCGCAGGGGTTTGGGAAAACCTCTAGCTAAAATTCTGTGCAGTTTGGAGAACCCCCAAATCCCACTCCTGGCTGTCCCTGCCCACCCCTCCACTCCCAGGAGTCCCCAGGTGGCCCGTTCTGGATGCAGGTAAATGCAGAGTGTGCGAGGAGGCTCGGGGGAGGGTGAAAAACAGACCTACTGGAGGTTTGGGGTGGCCAGAAATGGTCTCTGGAGTCTGGGGAGGCCGTTTTTGCCCTCCCGGAGGCTCAAATAAAGCCTCTGGAGCCCAGGTAGGGCAAAAACACCCTCCCCCCCCCACTATAATGCAGGAAGCTAACTAGGCGATGCCCACCATGGCCACACCCACCCAGCAACCGGGCAGAGAACCCCTTGCTAAAATTTTTGAAGCCCACCCCTGCACAGGAGGCCAGAGTCTAAAGCACTTCCCAGTGTATTCTGGACAGAATCTCTAAATGAAAACCTCAGGATCAACACTGAATAAATCGTGTAACACCTATGTAGGAGAGGACCTTTTCTGAAGGGTCCCCTCCTACATATTCTGTGCAAAGGGGGAAAACACCTGAAGAATCTCCTACCTTCCGAGTGAGCCTCCTTTTTATTTCCCTCTTCTCAGCCTGCCGGTCAGCCTCATTTTTTTCTGCCAAATAGGAAAGGAAAGGAAAAGATGTTGAAATCTCTTTCCTGGTTAGATTCATGCGAACTATGATTAGATAAGGCCTCAGAAGATTAACCCTGTAGGGGTGCGCATGTTGAGCAAATGGTTTCCATTAGTCTTGTGCACAGGAGATATTAGAAATTGTGCCGGGGAGATATAATACATAAGGCCTCATAATATATAGGCTAAAAGATATGAAGAACGGTACTGGGTAGGTCATGTTTGATGAAAAGAAGGACTAGGGGAGACATGATAGCAGTCTTCCAATATCTTAGGGGCTGCCACAAAGAAGAGGGAGTCAAACTATTTTCCAAAGCACCTGAGGGAAGAACAAGAACCAATGGGTTGTTCAAACTAATCAAGGAGAGAAGCAACCAAGAACTAAGGAGAAATTTCCTGACTGTTAGAACAATTAATCAGTGGAACAATTTGCCTCCAGAGGATGTCGATGCTCCAACACTGGAAGTTTTTAAGAAGATGTTGGATAGCCATTTGTCTGAAGTGGTGTAGGGTCCCCTGCCTGAGCAGGGGGGTTGGACTAGAGGACCTCTAAAGTCTCTTCCAACTGTTCTGTTCTAGTCTAGTCCAGTCCAGTCTATTCTATTCTTCTGGATGTCTTTATCAAAGTGAGACATGCCATCTCGGAGCATCATGCCATAAACTCCCCATCAATTTCTACACTGTCTACAGGGAGCCCTCAACTTACTACCATTCATTTAGCAATTGTTCAAAAATGACTATGACACTGAAAAAAGTGATTTATAACCAGTTCTCACACTTACGACCGCTGCAGCACATGACCGAAATTCAATTGCTTTGGCAACCAGCATGCCCTTATGAAGGTTGCAGTGTCCCTGGGTTAAGTGATCACCATTTGTAACGCCCCCCACCCCCAAAAGCTGGTTTCCAACAAGCACAGTCAAGTGGAGAGGGGGGAGCCACATTTACATAACGACAATGTGAGTCACTTAACAACTACAGTGCTTTGCTTAACAACCATGGCAAAAAAAGGTCGTAAAATCAGGCATGGATCAATGAATTACCACCTTGTGCTTAGCAATGGAAATTCCCATCCCAAACGCGGTCATAAGTTGAAGAGTATCTGGAGTATCAACTATCTGGTTGTTGTGGCCCACCAGCAGAGCTGGCAGCAGATTTGGACAGAGAGGAGGTTGGGGAGGAACATGGGCCAGTCCTGGAGTCTGGGGAAGGCTCTGATCAGGGCTCTGTGTTGGAGGCAGAGAGGGGGCCAGAGCCGTATGCCAGTTATCAGCTGCCTTCAGAGTCGAACATCAGTAAGCAGACGAACAGCTGGAGCCTGTTCCCAGTGTGCTCATGCGCAGAGTTGCCAGACGAAGGGAACAGCTAAAGAACAGGGGTCGACTTGGGAGGAAGGCCACAGGTGGACGATNAATGAAGGCTAATCTCAAACAAGCCTCAAGATTCCTCTTCAACTTGTGAGACAGGAAATGACAGACACGGCTAGTTCGTTTCCCTTCCGGTGACGGCTTGCACTTCTTGCTGTTTTTCTTTTTTTTTAAAAAAGAAAACCTTAAGGCCGATGATATCTGCAAGACAAGTATAAAGAATCATATAACATTTATCTATTTATCTATCATCTTCCTATCTATCTTCCAATCTATCTATCCATCTATCCATCCATCTATCTACCCATCATCTGTCTGTATCTATCTGTCTGTCCGTCTGTCCGTCCTTCCATCCATCATCTTATATCTATCTATAATCTATCCATCCATCCGTCCGTCCATCCAGCCATCCATCCACCTACCCATCATCTATCTGTCTGCTTGTCTGTCTCTCTCTCTCTCTCTCTATCTATCTATCTATCTATCTAACTACATACCCATCATTTGCCAAAAAAAAGGTTAGCCATCACTGCCCTAGACTATAACCAGGTCTTGAGGGTTTTCCAGAATATCAAAACAAATGGAGCCAATCTAAATTCAGGGGGAAGAATGCTCCACGAGGCATGGCCGAAAAGACATATATCCTGAGATATATGGTTGCTAATTGATGATATCCTCAGAATGCCTTCTCTGACAGATCTAATGGGAAAGGCTGATATAACAGTCTCTTAGATCAAGGGTATCAAACTCAAGGCCCGGGGGTCGGATCTGGCCTGTGGGATGCTTAGATCTCGTGGGGGGGGGGGGTACCCGGAAACAGCAAAGCCCGCAGGACCTCTGCCAACAAAAATGGAGCTCGGGAGAGCCGTGGGCAGCACTCCATTTTAGAGAGTTGCAGGAGGCTGTCGCAGCTGAAAACAGAGCTCAGGAGCCTGTTTTCTTTGGCAGAGCGCTTGGGCTGCCGCAGTCTTCCCCAACACGAGTGATGCTGAGCTGGCCACACTCCACCTGGCCACACCCATCCTGACCACCACCACCCAAAAAGTCAAACACAACCCTAATGTGCTCCTCAATGAAATTGTGTTTGACACTCCTGTCTTAGATAGTCCAGATCTGGAGATGGGAACATTCAGATCAACTTCTACATGGTTTATGTCTCCCCTAAGAGTTCTCAATGCTAGATGGCGCTGGCTCTCCACAAAATGCACATGCCAAAAAAATGAACTTTAAAATTACCCTCTCAGGCTTGCTTCCAAATAAATCTGCAAAAACTAAGTTGTGTTGATTGCAGCTACCGTGTGTGTGTGTGTGTGTGTGTGTGTGTGTGTGTGTGTGTGTTTGTGTAGCCGCCGCCACCGCCCCCCCCCCTTGTGTGAACATGGTTCAGCTTGCAGTACAACTTATTCCAAATAAAGGAGCTACAGCAGATCAGAAGCTAAAATCCTGCACATGCTCTGCCGCGAAACTGACCCTCCTGCTATGGATAGAGAGTCCACCTGAGCAACCGCCTCTGAACGTACCGAGTGAACTGCTTGCTCTCTTCGTGCACTTCCATCTCCGAGCTCTTGAATTCGTTCAGCTCCTTCCGGATGGCAGCCTACATGAAAGAGCAGAGAAATCCCATCAGCTCCCAGGTTTTGATGATTATTGGACACTCTCCAAAGTGTCCACCGTGATGACCGGCAAAGTCAATGGGGAAGACGGATTCCCTTAACATCCTTGTGCCTAACTTAACAATGGCAACAATAATAGCACTTACCCTGTTTCTCAGAAAATAAAACCTCCCTGGATAATAAGCCTCCCGGATAATAAGCCCAATTGGGCTTTTGAGCACCTGCGCTCAAATAAGCCCTCCCCAAACTAAGCCCTCCCCGAAAATATTGCAGCACAGCATCAGCCATGAGGTGACCACGCTCGACACCTCCTACACCTCAAAAAATAATAAGACCTCCCCAAAAATAAGGCCAAGTGCTTATTTCGGGGGTCAAAAGAAAATATAACCCTGTCTTATTTTTGGGAAAACACAGTTGACTTATATACAGCTTTACAGTACTTTACAGTCCCTTCTAAAAAGTTTACAGAGTCAGTCTCTTGCCCCCAACAATCTGGGTCCTCGTTTCACCCACCTCGGAAGGATGGAAGGCTGAGTCAACCTTGAGCCTGGTGAGATCCAAACTGCCAAATTGCAGGCAGCCGGCAGTCAGCAGAAGGAGCCTGCAAATACCGCATTCTTACCACTGCGCCACCATGGCTCAACGGCAGTGATTTGCTTAAAAACTATGGCAAGAAATGAGCAAGTAAAATGGGGCAAAACTCAACAGCAGTCTCGCTGAAACAACAGAAATTTTGGACTTAATTGTGGCTGCGCGTCAAGGGGTACCTTTACATGAATGTATCTATGTGTACAAACCAAAAGCAGGCACCCTCCCCTGCATACTGTACGTACACACAGCTTTTTATGGTCAGGATAGCAGGCAGTTCCCCATTTTGGATCTAGCTCAGGAAGTATCAGTCAGCAGGAGTGGGAGGGTATCTGGCTGGGAAGGTCATGAAATGCGGCAAGAAAGGAAACAGGTGGGGAGAAGGGATCTTGATAACTCAGCGGAGATGAGCAAAAGGATAAATATCTTTATTTAGCCCGGCTATTAATATTAACGTAGAAACACAGTTGTACAGAGACACACTGGCTCAGTGGCTAAGTTTGTTGATCAGAAAGGTTGGAAGTTTGGTACTCTGTGTATCTTAGAACTAAGAAACTTAGAACTAAGGAGAAGTTTCCTGACAGTTAGAACAATCAATCAATGGAACAACTTGCCTCCAGAAGTTGTGAATTCTCCAACACTGGAAGTTTTTAAGAAGAGATTAGACAACCACTTGTCTGACGTGGTGTAGGGTTTTCTGCCTAAGCAGGGGGTTGAACTAGAAGACCTCCAAGGTCCCTTCCAACTCTGTTATTATATATTTTATACCTAGCAGGACCAGGAAGCACGGTTCCGCCACAAATCCGCGAAGCCCTTATCCGCAGAGACATAAGCGCGAAGACTAATTCGCGCCGTTCGAAGCGCTAAGGAAAAACGCGACCCTACCACGATGACATAATCGCGGAGGGCAAATCCACGCATTCCCAAGCACTCAGTACCCTAAACCTAACCCTAAACCTAACCCTAAACCTAACCCTAAACCTAAACCTAACCCTAAACCTAACCCTAACCCTAAACCTAACCCTAAACCTAACCCTAACCCTAAACCTAACCCTAAACCTAACCCTAACCCTAAACCTAACCCTAAACCTAACCCTAACCCTAACTCTAACCCTAAAC